TGATAGTCAGGTTTATGCAACATGGGCCATGCAAAAATGTCAATCAGTAGACCATAGACCAAAAAAAAAAAAAAAAAAAATACTTGGTCCTATATCAAATGATTAGCAAATGAATGTGTATATTTTCAGTTAAAAAAAAGGTTTAAAATGCACATGTATCATTTTCTATGATTCTCTGCCTTTTCTGACTTTTTAATTAACTCTCCAATCACCAATCCTGATTGCATCCTGATTGCTTCTACTGCTCTACTCTTGGGTGAGACAGCTGGGTTTGCAATACTCCAAAATGTAGTGGAGGTAGAACTTTTCTTCATGCCCCAGCTCTTTGCTTTATCCCGAAAGACATTATACCAGCTGATAGGTAATGATCACCTGTCCCTTGCCATGGCATAAACTTGGAGGTGGAAGAGACGTCAAGAGATCATGTAGTTTAGGACGTGCTCCTTGGAGAGCCAAAGTGAGTTTCCAGCTACCCCAGAGCTAGTAAGCGACAGAGAAAAGAAAGAATCAGATCTGCACCTGCCACCATGGAAGAGGAAGCACCTTTGTCCATTAGAGATTTTCCTAGAATTAGAAATCAGTCTGAGATGAGAAGGACACATGTCTTCATCATGGGTCCCCTTTTCCAGCTTTCTTTTCACGTGACATTGAGTAAAAAGGAATGGAGATGCCTGCGTTGGGGCTTGACAAGATGCCTCAAAGTGTGGCACTTTGGCACACACAGCACTTTGAACTCAAGGAGACTGGAAGGCCTCAGATGCCAGGTCTCTCTTGTCTCCTGCCCTCCTGTCTCCCAACCCCAGATGCGAGCTGTAGAAACCAGAATTCCTCGTCCCCAAGCTGGGTTCACAGAAACCAGGACTCCTTTCCCCGAAAAGCAAGCCATAAAACCTGGAAAGGTCACTCTCTCCCTTCTTCCTTGGAGAATCTCGTTCCTTCATTCCTGCCCCATACCCAGGAGGAAGGAATGCTACGTGGAGAGTCTAAGAAGTATCAGAACAGACAGGCCTTACTGGACCTCCCCTACTCTGCTCAGTTGATTACTGTTAGATCATCCCTGTTTGTGCAATCTGTTTCTTCATAGCTGCTGATTTTTCATTAGACCCAAACACAAAAATACCCAATTTTCCCTGGGTCTTTGGCTCTTCATTTCTGAAGGCTCTCATGTCATATAAAACTTTGATTAAATAAACTTGTTATGCTTTTCTCTTGTTAACTTATCTTTTGTTATAGGAGTGTCAGGCTGTGACCCTTAGGATGGGTGAGGGAGGGTATCTCACCTTTTCACCCCTAAACCTGCAACGAGTTTTGGAGACATAAATCTGAACAAATGGAGCTGCACTGTTGGGTTGTGTCTCATTGCTAATTCCTTTAATTGCAGATGCGTTTGCATGCTGGCTACTCAAACACCGCATGGGATAAGTCCACTTGCCTCTTTGGTGGCAGCCACTGGCTCAGAAAGGAAGCAGCTGGGATGAGAAGTCAGTGGGGAGTGAACTGCCTAGGGAGCTTGGCAGGAGGGGAGCCCATTATGTAGAAACAGAAAGTACCCCAGCAGGATAGGCTGCAGACAAGAAAGAAAAAAATTGCACAGGTAAAATGGGTAGAACAGCCAGTCTGAAAGAGCAACTTCCCAGCGGAAGAAGCCTGGCTCAAGGAGCTCCCCAGCTCCTGTCTGGCCCCCGTGCAATTTCTGTAACATCTGTGAACCGGGGCCAACAGCAGCTGATTGTTACCAGAGAGTAAAGAAACTGAAAAAGAAAAGGGCTCTTGCAATTCGAGGAAGTGCATGCTAACGCTGGCCTTGAGCCCTGTTGCTGACTTCCTCTGCAACAAAGCCCAAAGCAAAGTCCTTTGCCTCAATGGGCCCAGCTGTAAAATGGGGAAATGGCGCTCGCGGCCTGGCAGGGACCACAAACACAGGAAAAGCTTTAATTAATGACAAAGCGCTTGTGAGAACAAAGTACCACCAGAATACACAGCCCGGCATCGGCCAGATGAGCACAGCAAAGGCTTTGAAAACCCATCTCTCCCTGTGGACGTCTATAAGAAGTCAGCGATTTTTCATGGAAGATTTGGGTCAAAAAGAAATTGACTGCCTTCAGGGCATCGTGCTTCAATAGAGAATCTAGCTAGGATGGCCAAGGCCCAGCGGGGAGTTCCAAAGCTAAACCAGCCCAGAGCTGCAAAGCAAATAGACATTTTAGCCACGGGATAAATGCACAAGTAGCCAGACGGCAATGGCTTCCTGGAAAATGCAGGCAGGAAAACAAAAACACCTTTCTAATGAGACCCTTAGTCACCATTTCTCTGTGCTTTTCAGCCGTCTAAAATCCTGGGCTCCAGGACAAGTAGGATATTCCCTTTGTTGAATCTTTCTCTTCTTGGGATACAGAAGACATCTACCACAACCCCACCCCTGCCCCGTCCTAATTCCTTTCTGTTTTTCTCTCCTTTTCCACTACCTAGAAACAACCGATCTATAGGATATGTGATTTCTGGTCCCGTAATTTTGCCCTTCCCAGAGAATGTCAACTGAAAATCTCTGAAACTGACAAATTCAAAGAATGCTTGTCCTCCTTTGTGAATAGAAATTCACCACCGTGATACGGAAACAGGAAGATGGTCTTTCAAGACAGTAAAAGCTTTCAGGTTTCCTCTAGAGCAGCCTCCACCGCAAGAAAGCAACCAGCAAACTACGGGACAACCTCAGCGTTTCAGTTGCAGGAGAGAATGTGGAAGGCTCTTTAGGGGGCCTGGAGCATAGGGGAGTAGCCACCATAGAACCCCTGCTCTGGTCACAGCCTGGGCCTCTGCCTCACTGAAAATTCCAAGTGGTCATTCTGTTATAAGGCTCTACTCTTTATCCATCCCTGACCCCAAGCTTCCTACCTGTCAGAGACTATAGCTCTGTTTTCCTATAGCCAGATGATGAAATTGGCAGGTGTTTATAATCTTATTGATGAAAAATAATCTTCTTATGTCTAGCCTGGGAAAGTCAGTTTCCAGAGAGCCTGGAGGGCTCCGGGCTCAGTGGGGAAAGGAGAAAGGGAAAGAGAGAGGAAGAGAGTAATGGGGTTCAGGACACACAACCCCAAAATATGGCACTTTCACATTTGAGGAAGTAAAAGCAGGAAAGTATCTCTGACCCTCCCACCACCATTCATCCTTGAAACAGGCCATAAAAGAACTCTCTGACCTCCTTCTAAAGTAAGTCATAACACTCTTACGTTTGAGGTTCCCACCCTGTGCCTGAAGGAAAGGAATATCCTTGTGCAGAAAACAATTTGAACAAACAGACCTTGCTGAGGCCCCCAAGTTTACTGCCATTGGATCATCCTCCTGTTGTGCAGCGTTCTTCCTCACGACTGTCCACTGTTCACCAAATCTAAGCATCAAAACACACAGGCTTCTCTGTTTCTTTGGGTCTTCATTTCTGAAGGTTCCCATGGCATGTGAAACTTAGATTAACCAGATTTGTGTATCTTTCCTCTTGTTAATCCATCTCTATAGGTGCCTCAGCCATGAACCTTTCATAGGCGAAGGAAATATATTACTCTTCCTCCCCTACAAGAGGGAGGGAGGAAGGGAGAAAATCCCTGGTTGACACTTGCTCTGCTGAATCAGTCCTGACCTCCAGCAGAGTCAAGACCCAGAAGACACCATCACACGCCTAACCTGGCTGCTGTTGGCCCCACCCCAAGCTTCTCCGGGTAGCTCACTTTGGAGAGTCAGCCCTCCCTACCTTCAGAGACTTGTCCTCAGAGCCTGCGGTTCCTTCCACCCTGGGCTCCTATTCCCTTGCTTAGGCTGCACTTCCCTCCATGCTGGAATATTCTTCCAAGCCATCCACCTGCAGCAGGTGGTTGGTCTTCAACACCTCTATCTACCCAGAGCACTGGGGGCTGGGCTTTCCTGGCAGACCTGGGCTAACAAAGGCATTCAGATGTTGGTAGCTCAAGGTAGAGCTTACTGGGATTGGATCAGCAAGGATTCAGAGTGACAATGGCTGCTTTCGTAAAATGTCATTCAATTCAAATACAGGCTAAAAGATCAATTTTTTAAGCAGTCCAGAAGGCGTTGACTGACCATACAAGTGTGTGCTCTGAAAAGGCCATGGTCGTGCAAACAGGAAACGAGCCATGGGGCCAGCCTGGGGGATGGGCAGCACCCTCCCCACCCACCTGCAGTGAGTCCTGGCACAGGTAACGTCTAACATCAACCATGCAACCTAAGGCCAAGTAGCACTTCTTCCAGGTACTTCACATATTTCTTTCCTTTTAACACTCAGAACACTTGAGAACCTGGCCAGACAAAGAGCTCTGAAGCCTCAGGCCATAGAACAGAAGTAGGGGGACATTTCTAGGGCCTTTCATTAAAAGGTCCTCAGCTATGGGAGAGGGAATGTGAGAAGGGCGAGGGGAAGGGAAAGGCAAACAAAACCACATCTTAATTTGTGATACATATATCTCAGGCCAAGTATTAGTAGTTGTTGTTTATATGAAAAGAGTACATCATAAACATTCATTATGATCTAGTTTTAGTAAAAACAATCATGGGGATATATGCATATATTTGAATGTTTCATTCTAATAAATAATTAATATTGTAATATATAGATTCTAAATATATAATTAAATATCATATATGACATATATAATACATAGTATATACAATAACTATTTGTTATATATATGACATATGTAATGCAATATGTAGTAATTCTATACTGGACTGTATACTCTAACTTTAGCCATTAAATTAGAATGAGAATAGAACTAAATATGCCAAAGGTTTTTTTTTTCTTCTTGTATATTTTAAACTTCTACAAAAATTCTATATTATCCTGTCCTGTTTTTTATTCAAGAGTTACTAAAACTTTACCGAATTAGTATGGTGTGATAGGAAGCCCTCCCGGTATTTACTGCCCCCATTTGGAACGTGGTCCCAAAGCACCAAAGAGCATAGCTGAGCAGGCTGTGGGGAAGGGACAGACAGACCTCCTTCTGCTCTCCCCCAGCATAGTGTGGAGAAGGGATCGGGGGAGCCTTCCATTCTTCAAATGCCTGCAAAGGGGTCTTCCTCTCGTCTCCGAAGTGGGGCCTGGGGTGGACGGCTGCAGTGGCTGCACAGATGGCTCCCTCCATGTCCTCCACCTGCCTCTCATCTTCCACAGACAGGCTGCCCCTGGCCTCCTGGAGTTGCAGGCTCTGGATAAGCAACCGACAAGCTTCCAAGTCAGCTTCCCACACTTTCCCAAGCAGAGGACACGTGCAGCTAAGACACAAAGAGGTGGAACAAGGCATAAAAATGAACTCAGTGATGCTTCATCAGGCCAAGTCAATAGCTCGTCTACCTGGCTAAAAGTCAGCTAGTCATTTTATATTTAACAGTTTAATTTCACATAGTGATGGATTATTTCAATCAGAAGACTAAGATAGGCCAAATTTGTATACCACTAAGTCACTATGAAATGTGTTGGTCCTTCTTAGCTATTCAGTCCACAGGCCCATCCAAAATTCTGTGTATTTTTTCAGACTCACTGGCCTAATATAACACAGCTCCTGCCCATGTCTATGTTTCGGCCCTACTAGCTTTGAGTCCTCACACCTGCCCAACTCTCCCTGGCTAAATACATACTTTTGCATGTGCTATTGCATGTGCCTGCACCATCTTTCCCCATTATCTCCCACCAACACACACACGCCCAGGCCTCCAACTGGCTAAATCATATTATCTTTAGATCTTAGCTTAAATAACATTTCCTTGGGGGAAACCTTCCCTGCCTCCCAACTAGAAATTTATGATGGGTTTCTTAGCACCCTGTACTTTTCCTTCAGAGTATTTGTCACAATTCTAGTTATTTATGTGATTATTGGTACTTTTCTCTGAGGGTAAGGCTTATATCTATCTTGTTCTCCACACTATGGCTAGAACATAACGTGGACCGTGAACTCAAATTCCCAGAATGCCCAGCATGTAATGTAAATGAGTGGAGCATAGCAGGAATGATATAAACCATAACATCTGATATTCAGCCTCAGTGGCAGAAGGGAGAACATATCCTTTATAGGGAGAACTTCATCAGCTCATCAGCTCAGGCCAACTAAAGCTTTGGGGAATATAGACTCAATATTGACAAAAATTTGACTTTTCACAGAAAGCTAAAAATCTGGAAGTTTCAATGAAAATATATTTTTTTCACCCATATATCCCACTTTATGCTAGATATTCCCTACAGATCTATCTTCCATTTAATAATCCTTCCTTCTACTGTATCTAATCTGCTATTCAATCCATCCATCTAGTTACTTTTGATTTGCTTTTCCATTATATATTCCAGTTCTCTGTTGAAATTCTCCACCATGACCTCTATTTTCTTGAACATATTAATCATAATTATTTTAAAGCCCATGTCTATGAATGATTAAATTAGAAGGAAAAAGAAAGAATGAGACAGAAGCAATATTAGAAGACATACCAGCTAAAAACATTCACAAATTGGCAAAGAACATCAAACAACACATTTAGGAAGCACTAAAACTCAAGCAGAAAAAGATCAAAGAAAACACACACTGAGGCTCATCGTAAGGAAACTGCTGAGCACCAAAGACAGAACAAAACTCTTAAAAGCTGCCAGAGGAAAAAAAAAAACACACCTTAACTTCAAAGGAACAAAATTATTAGTGACAGAAATTGTGAAAGTTAGGAGAAAATAAAACGACATCTTAAAAATGATGAAAGAAATTAACTGCCAATCTAGAATTGTACAATTATTTTGAATTTTCTCCAAAAATAAAAGTAAAATTAAGGCATTTTAAGATAAACAAAATCTGAGAGAATTCATTGGCAATATATCCATAATAAAGGAAATAATCCCAGACAGAAGCAAGGACATGTGTGAAGGAATGAAGAACAATGGGAAGAGTAAATATGTGGGTAAGCCGACATGAAGATCAATGTACAAAATGGCAATAATAATTTTTCTGCTCTAAGATATATTTAAAATTAAAATTCATGACCACCAGCACTAGGCGAAAGAAGGAATAAAACGAATTACAGTATTCTTAGGTACTTGCATTATCCTAGAAGTAATAAAAGTACTCATTTATATTAGGCTAAAAATTCAGGGATTCATATTGAACTCTTCATGGTAAAAATAAAACACAGAAGTTAAAAGAATTCTTTGTTCAGTTAATATGGGGGAAATTAAGAAGAATTAATTAAATACTGCTTTAACAAAAGCAACAAAGGAAACAGGAATGAATATGATACAGATAGGAAAAATAGCAAAATAGAAAGATTAATACTAAAATTACATCAGAAATTGCATTAAATATAAATAGATATATACTGTATTTAAAAAGCAAAGATTTGGGATTAAAATAAAAAATCAAAATCCAATTATATGTTGTTTACAAGAGGCATACATTAAATAGAATGATACAGATTATAAGTAAAAGGATAGAAATGATATAACAGCAAAGCATTATTAGATATAAAATGTAGTGAGAAAAGGACAATTTTTTGACCATATTGTCTAATATTATGTCAATTGGATAACATCATAGGAAAAAAATCAAATTATGATTACTGGCTCATGTGATACAAATATCAATATCAGGTGGATTGTAGATCAGAATGTGAAAGATAAAACAATTAAACTTAGCATAGGACAATATCATGATAATTTTGTGGCAAGCAGAACATAAAAATAACGTAAAAATAATATAAACAGAATGTAAAAAGTACTAACCATAATGAAAACGAGTGATAAATTTGGCTTCATTAATACTAAGGACGTATAGATCAAAAAGAACCAAGTGAATGAAATTGCAAGTCACAGAGTAGGAGAAATTATTTGTAATAACCAACAAAGGGCTAATTGCAGAATATAAAGATAACTCTGACCAGTCAGTAAGAAAGAAACGGAAAACCCAATTTAAAAGGGGGCGGGCAGTAAAGACTGAACAGTCACTTCATAAAACAGGGGATCTGAATGGCCAATAAGGAACTTAAGAACAGATGCTCAAATGCCATTGATCATCAGGAAAATACGCATTAAATCACATCATAATATGCTACATATCAACAAAATGGCTGAAATCTAAAAGCCTGACAATACCAAGTTTTGGATAAGACAGGGAGCTATGAAAACTTTCATATGCTTCTGGTGGGACTGTGCATGAATGAAACGCCTTTGAAATCTCTTTGATCGATACATTAAGGTAGAGCATATATCAATCACATGACCCAGCGACATGATCCCTAGTTATATATTCAACTACATGCATTCACAGCTGATCCTGTTATTCATAATAGCATAAGCTCTATAAAGTCACCAAAGGCACTGAATTAGTGGATACTACACCATCGCTCCCGGGGAAAATACAGGTTAGGTTCCTGTGAGCCTCTGGTCACGACATTTTCATCCACTTATCAATGCATAACCTTGTTTTATGTGTTTTTCTGTTTAAAGACATCCTATGCAGTATCTGTTGTTGATTCATTAACATGGGACTCATGGCCAACAGAACTATAACCCATGCTTGAATGAAGCTTTTCTAATGCATATTTTCTTCATAAGGCAACATCGCAGTGTCGGGTCACAGTGGACAACACTATCAGCTCCGCACTTGGGGGCCATTATAAACATCGAAATCCACCACAAAAGAAAAGAGCACAACAATGAGAAAAGCATAGCACTAAACAGATAGCAAAAGAGGACATTTGTTTACAATATGAGAGCTGAAATATGAAGCAGAGCATCGCTTTGCTCAACCTGAGCTGCATGTCAGGAAACTCAAGTTTTTTGCCAGTCTCTGTGTGTTCACAGATGATAGTGAAAACTTCAGAGATAATGATTTTGGGGTTTACAAATAAACTGTAGAGAGTAGGTGAATCACAAATACAAAAATCCATGAATAATGAAGGTCAACTGTGTATATGATCATGCAACGTTATTTGTTACAAAACCTGGGTGAGGGAGAATCAAATGACCATAAATAGCAGAATGGATAAATAAATTGTGCAATATTAATTTGATAGAATGTCATACTGCAAAGAAGGTAAATAGGTTAATGCTATATACAACAATATGGATGAACCCAAACATAAATTTGGGCAAAAACAAGACAAAAAGAAGGTACTATGATTCCATTTATATTATATTTTAAAATATGCAAACCTAATCCATGGCATTAGAAATAAGGGTAGCAGTTACTTTTGGGAGAAAAAAAGTAATGACAGGGAGAGGAATAATGGGGTTTCTAGTACACAGGAAGTGTTTTATTTCTTGAAGGTGGTAGTTCTACAAGTGTGTTCATTTTGTGAAAATTCATCAAATAGTACATTCATGGTATGTACACTTTCTGCTTGTGTTCTATGGCAATGTAAAATAAAAACAAGTAGATTTTCTAAGCAATACCCTGGAGCAGGAGGGCAGGAATGGGGTCTGGTCCAAAGGAGAAGTGACAGGAGCTCTGGACTTGGGTATTTTCAATTTTTCTAATTTAGCCAGTCTGATAGGTGAAAAGGTATCTCGTTTGAAGTTGCATTTCTCCACTGGGATCACTTTATAGCCACTCAGATTTTCTTCTGTAAATTATCCTTTCATGCCTATTGCTTGTTTATTCCTTTCTTGGGTCACCAATCCTTTTCCCAAGACTTTTGTTGGAGGAGACATTTTACCACTACCGACTTCAGTACTGTTAATTTTTGGAGTCTACTCAAGGTTTCTATTTCTTCCTGTGTCCATGTTAACATTTTATCTCCTTTATAGAAATTAATTCATTAATTCAATTCTCCTGGGTTTCAAAGGTATTGTTGCATATTTGTCCATAATTTTTGAAACTACTTTTAAAATCACTTGTGTTCGTAAATCTCCTTTTCAGTTTGTTGATTTCCTTATTCCTTTTCTGACTCACCTTGTTCAGTGTTATTTGAGGTTTCCTAGCTTATTAATTTTTTCACAGTACCAACTTTGGCTTTGTTAATCTTCTATATTGATTTCTTTCTCTACTTCATTGATTTTTGTTCTTATCTTTATAGTCTTCTTTTCTCATTTCTTTGGATTTATTATCCTATTTTTTATTAGCTTCTGTTAAATACTTGACTCATTCATTTTCTCTAACTTTCCTCTCTTGATATTTTAGTGTTCTAATAAATGTATTTAAAGCTTTAAATTTTTCTTTGAGTAATACTTTAGCCATGTCCAATACATGTTCATTTACATTTTTAAATTATTAAATACTTTAAATATACAGAAAAACATGGAA